TAATTCGAAGTGGTCTGTATTCTGTCGAAACTGCCAGACGCGGATCGCGATTTCGATCTTTTTGGATCTCATCAGCGCGTCGCAGGCAGCTCCGACAGAACACAGACCAACCTTTACCTGCTGTCTTAGCAGTGCGTTTTTTTTTTTAATGTGGAGCATACGTAATCCTAAAATGTAGCATCGTGCTACAGATGGCGTTTACTGCGCCATTTGTAGTATTTTCTACCTCTTTCAACATAAAAAATACAAGCTGATGCTAATCACAATGGAGGGGTGGGTAAATGTACCTAACACACTGTGTTATTCAAAATGAAATACTAAAATGTCTACTGATTGAATAATACATGCTTCACAATATACAAACGAAACTATTAGAACAGAATTTCAAAGAAAAATTACTCAAAAGATGATGGTGTATATACCTAAAGTGATCTAAAAAATTTCGAAGTGAATTCAAAAAATATACAGTTATTATAATAATGTAATCGTCACAAGATGCTGTTTAATTTGATATGAAGCACGTCATACCTTTTTTTAAAAATAAAATGCTAACAATATTTCAGTTCTAATCGTTGCAGTTCAATTAGGTATTTACCAAACTACACCACACATATTTTGGAAAATGAAGAGCCCCTTTTTTAATAAAAATAAATGACAACTTACTGCTTATAAAATAACAAATATTGCCGATGTTTATAACTATAACTGTGAATAATACATGCTTTATAAGATACAAATAAAACTATTAGAACAGGATCTCAAAGAAAAATTACTCAAAAGAAGATGGTGTATATACCTAAAGTGATCTAAAAAATTTCGAAGTGAATTCAAGAAATATACAACAATATTACAGTTCTAATCGTTACAGTTCAATTAGGTATATAGGAAACTATAACACACATATTTTGGAAAATGAAGAGCCCCTTTTTTAATAAAAATAAATGACAACTTACTGCTTATAAAATAACAAATATTGCCGATGTTTATAACTATAACTGTGAATAATACATGCTTTATAAGATACAAATAAAACTATTAGAACAGGATCTCAAAGAAAAATTACTCAAAAGAAGATGGTGTATATACCTAAAGTGATCTAAAAAATTTCGAAGTGAATTCAAGAAATATACAACAATATTACAGTTCTAATCGTTACAGTTCAATTAGGTATATAGGAAACTATAACACACATATTTTGGAAAATGAAGAGCCCCTTTTTTAATAAAAATAAATGACAACTTACTGCTTATAAAATAACAAATATTGCCGATGTTTATAACTATAACTGTGAATAATACATGCTTTATAAGATACAAATAAAACTATTAGAACAGGATCTCAAAGAAAAATTACTCAAAAGAAGATGGTGTATATACCTAAAGTGATCTAAAAAATTTCGAAGTGAATTCAAGAAATATACAACAATATTACAGTTCTAATCGTTACAGTTCAATTAGGTATATAGGAAACTATAACACACATATTTTGGAAAATGAAGAGCCCCTTTTTTAATAAAAATAAATGACAACTTACTGCTTATAAAATAACAAATATTGCCGATGTTTATAACTATAACTGTGAATAATACATGCTTTATAAGATACAAATAAAACTATTAGAACAGGATCTCAAAGAAAAATTACTCAAAAGAAGATGGTGTATATACCTAAAGTGATCTAAAAAATTTCGAAGTGAATTCAAGAAATATACAACAATATTACAGTTCTAATCGTTACAGTTCAATTAGGTATATAGGAAACTATAACACACATATTTTGGAAAATGAAGAGCCCCTTTTTTAATAAAAATAAATGACAACTTACTGCTTATAAAATAACAAATATTGCCGATGTTTATAACTATAACTGTGAATAATACATGCTTTATAAGATACAAATAAAACTATTAGAACAGGATCTCAAAGAAAAATTACTCAAAAGAAGATTGTGTATATACCTAAAGTGATCTAAAAAATTTCGAAGTGAATTCAAGAAATATACAACAATATTACAGTTCTAATCGTTACAGTTCAATTAGGTATATACGAAACTATACCACACATATTTTGGAAAATGAAGAGCCCCTTTTTTAATAAAAATAAATGACAACTTACTGCTTATAAAATAACAAATATTGCCGATGTTTATAACTATAACTGTAAACGTACAGATGCATAATTATGTATTATACTAAGTGCTTAATAAGAAATACAACACATCCTACATCATTTGAAAATAGCAACCTACCCCTTCCAAAATAAAAAATATTAGTCTATATAAACCACTATAAAGGGGTGGGAAAATGTACTACCCTGTATAATTTATCTGAAAAACGGGCACGGATTCAAGAAAAATTATAATATCTATTTAAGGGATCGTATGAGACCTTTCCCTGGGGACATTACTTCATTAAGGACGACGGCGATGAATCCTTAGAATAGGTTGTTTTTAGCTGTTAAGCTCAAGTTTTTGAATATATGTATATACTTAATTTAAACTGTACGGCACAATCCGGGTTTGTTTTCCTATCGTAACAAGGTAATTAGTGTAATAATAGGCATTAATATTAGGAAAATAGAAGTTAATTTTTGGTATAGGTAAAGCAAATTTGATGTACATAGGTAAATACCAGGTGTATATGAGTAATGTTAATTTATTTTCGCTGTTCTAATCATATATGGTAATAATAATAAGTCACCTGTTTAGTCAACCATCCGTTGTATATCAAACACTTATTTAATAAAAGCAAATGAATTATTCGTCTCTTCTTTATAGATTCCGTTACTTAATACGAATATCTATACGCTTACACATATGAATAAAGCATTGCATGTGTCTATCTACGTTAGTGTGTAAATACTGCGTTTCACCAACACATGCTCACTGCACATTAAACGATAAATTTTTATTATGTAACATTCAAGGTCAATAAATATTATTAATTACATTCATTAGCAATGAGGTAAACGAAAAACAAAAGCTTCTTTAATTATAACTACTCTCATGGTACACATGCATACACATACTGGTACATACATACATAGCAGATAGCCGCCAATTGTACTTATAATTCGATCAAGGTCGCTTAGGATGCTCTCACACAGACGCACGCACACTTTACAAACAAACACACACACACACGCACACAGACACACACATATACACGCAAACATTCGCACGCGCGGCGTATTGTTAGCGTAAATACATCAACGGTGTGCAATATTTACTTTTATGTTACCGTTGCACTGAAGACTCTATGTTTAGTCGGTTGGTTAACACGTCGGTCTAGCAGCATTAAAGCTGTTTTGCCTTGGATCGAACCAGAACTCTGTTCACAGTTTTTTTTCAGAAAAAAAAAATGTCGCAACAAGGCGGCGAGAGATCTGGCGGCGAGAGGACAAACTGCAGCGAAGATAGCGGAAAATTCAAAGTCGCAGACGATAGTAGCAGAGCGAAGCCCTGGCTGAAAATGACAGCTGTCAAAGATGGCCGGCAATGACAGATATCAAAGATGGCCGGCGATGACAGCTGTCAAGGATGCCTGACAATGCCAGCTGTCAAAGATGGTTGATNACTAAATACACAAATAGATTATAAAAAATGAATGAAATAATAAAACCCGTAGTCAAGAGAATTTTTCTTTGTTCTGTAACATTCAAGCATATATCTGTACCTATAATAACAACAGCATTGCTATAATCTATATGAAGCATGTTTGCGTGCATGTTTATGTGAGCAAGCAATAGTTGGTTTATGTATGCGATAAATCAAGACCAACAACATCCGTTCGTAAAAAAACAATTTCACAATTCAAAATATTAGATACGCATACTTAGTGTTCCAATTATTTATAAAAGAAAAATGTTTCAATGGCTTTTTCCTTAAGCTAATGAAAACGCCGTTTAGTCGATAAGAAAGCTATTTTATCCGATTAGACAACTGTTATAGCGGAATTAGACAGCCGTTATAGCTGATAAAGTAGCCGTTATAGCCAATTAAACAGTCGTTATAGCCGATAAGAAAGCTGTTGTTACAATCGATACAGTATATTATAAATACACTGCAGTAGGTACATATTACGATGTTATGTACATGAAATATATGTAAGAAAAAACTAATGAATAAAAAAATGTATCCAATAAGATATTTGTCTAAAATGAGCTATAAATTCGAAATCACATTTGTGTCTCGCATTTACTATTACGTAGTTGATGTAGAAGGCTGAATTTAGCATTATCACGAAACTTTGGGAGTTATTCGACGTACCGGCCGTGATTTTCTATTTCTACATAGTCTAGAACAAATGAATGCCCTGTATATCTTCTGCGAATTAAAATATAAAAGATGCGACGCGAGCTCATACCGTTCATTCAATTATTGTCAACGATATCTTTAATATCGTTAATCATCTTTGTTACCAGCAATAGTGACCCACAGTGATAAATATTACTTATTTAAAAAGGGGTAAGTTTCCATTTTTCCAAATCGTTTTTATATAAACCACCTGCATTAAAATCGTGCTCTTATAACATTGAAATCTATTTCAGACAAAACGCAGTGTAGTGCAGTCACCCTCCTAGGTATTAGGTATTATCATTGGCTTTTTATAAAAAGGGGTAAGTTATCATTTTTTTAAATATCTATAGCGTGTTGTATATAAAATTAAACAGTTTTTCAAGATTATTAAAGTAGTAATTGTAAGAATCTAAATACTTTTTATTAATAAAAGGGGTAATTAACACTTGTTTTTTCCAATAAATTTCGTATATGGCATATCAAAAATTAAAGTATTTGTAATAGTAGCACCTATTCGGTTTGAAATCAGACTAGGTAGTGCCAACATATTTTTCACTTAATTTAAAGTTTTTAAGATCGGCCGTATTCATAAGCATATATCTGTACCTATAATAACAACAGCATTGCTATAATCTACATGAAGCATATTTGCGTGCTTGTTTATGTGTGTTAATAGACACGTGTGTGTATAGATATGTGAGCAACAACAACATCCGTTCGTAAAAAAACAATTTCACAATTCAAAATATTAGATACGCATACTTAGTGTTCCAATTATTTATAAAAGAAAAATGTTTCAATGGCTTTTTCCTTAAGCTAATGAAAACGCCGTTTAGTCGATAAGAAAGCTATTTTATCCGATTAGACAACTGTTATAGCGGAATTAGACAGCCGTTATAGCTGATAAAGTAGCCGTTATAGCCAATTAAACAGTCGTTATAGCCGATAAGAAAGCTGTTGTTACAATCGATACAGTATACTATAAATACACTGCAGTAGGTACATATTACGATGTAATTTTTGCACGAGGTGTTGTTACGTAATAGTATCAAATGTTTCAGATAAAACACCACTACCCCTTGTTTTTCACTGTGTAGTATGTGATAATTTTCAAATTAAATAGCTTGACTAAGGCAATAATATTCATCATAATAACACTTATTTTTAATGTAATTCTAAGAGCAGTTTTTATGCAGGCCATCTGCTTTAAATCCGTGTTCTACTAATATTAGTGATTAATATGTTTTATTAAACGACCGATGTTTTCACGTTTCAGATCATGTCAGCCAAAAAGGTTCTTAAGCTTCTGATTTTTACTATAACTTCATTAGTAAAGACTTTGCAGACAACCTACAGCGAAGATGCAGCGCGCGACGGACTGAAGAACTGTACTAAGGCTGTACGAACTATTAAAATGCTATTGAAGAAGGCAACCACGGTAGGCGAGAAGCAACAACTTTTATCGCAGCTGGCTAACGTTAAAAGTTATAGAAATCAAATAAAAGTTTCTGTAAGACATGGTTCGGGGATGACGGGCGAGGTTTTAACCTCTTCTAGACCATCAAAAAGAGTAAAATGGGACGACAGCGAAATCGCATTCGATAGCCGCATTCGTACCGGTGTGATTTCTAATTTGAAGCATAAAGACCCACGTCAGTTTCTCGCCGATTGTTTCATCCTCTTCAAACGTCGCATTGCCAATGTTTTGAAGAAAGAAGAGTCGCTCAAGGTTAATGCGATATTGGGAGGGCAATTCCTTTTGCAAAAAGCCGATCGAATAATTGAGGAAACCAAGTATTTCAACACCCGGAATGATCCGATCTATCGAGACACAGACTTGGAAGAATGGTTTCAAGAAACTATATCACAGCCAATACTAAACCAACTGGATGAGTTCCAAGAGAGAGACTCCGGCTGGACACTGAGTTCTATCACCAACTTGGGAATCCACATCAACAAATTTACACCTCAACTGGGATCCTCATATGTAGAGTTACCGCGGCAAATTAAAATCAAAGAAGCCTGCATAAATATTAAAAATATGGATGGGGCGTGCTTTGCGTGGGCAGTAGTTTCTGCCTTGTACCCTGTTCATAAAAACAGTGACCGAACGGCATCTTATCCTCATTATTCTAAAGTTCTAAATATAAAAGGTATTCAGTTTCCGATGACTACAAGACAAATTCCACGTTTCGAAAATCAAAATAATTTATCTATTAACCTTTACGGATTGAAAAAATGTAAAAACACTTTCATCATACTCCCTACATATTTAACGAAAAATAAAATGGAAAAGCATATCAACTTGCTCTTTATACAAGATCGGTATGAAGATGATGATCTTGATGATGCTAATATTCCTATGAAATACCATTTTTGTTGGATAAAAAATTTGTCGAGGCTTCTGTCATCCCAACTTAGCAAACATGATGGCAAAAAGCATTTTTGCGATCGATGTTTACACTACTTCTCTTCCCAAGATAGATTGTCTGAACATTATAAGGACTGCAAAAATGTTAATGACTGCTGTATTAGACTACCGAGTGGGGGTGAACAGAAGCACTTGAAATTCAAAAACTTCAAAAATAAGGAAAAGATGCCGTTCATTGTTTATGCTGACCTTGAAAGTGTATTAGAAAAAGTAGTAAACTCGGGCAACAAGTACCAGCGCCACGTACCCGCAGCAATTGGTTACTACGTCAAGTGTTCTTATGATCCCACGTTATCTTTTTACAGATCTTATCGCGGAGAAGATTGCATGTCCTGGTTTGCTCAGCAGATGTGTTGTTTTGCTGAAGATGTCGAGACGGTTTATCTGTGTCCTTTTGATATTAGAATGACTCCAGAACAACAGGCTGAATTTGAACGAGCAACGCATTGTCACATCTGCGAACAGCCTTTTGGCCCTGACGATATAAAAGTGAGAGACCATTGTCATTTCATAGCCGAAAACAATTATCGAGGAGCCGCACACAATGCTTGTAATATTAATTACAAGGATGGTGTAATTATACCTGTTGTCTTTCACAATTTGAGCGGGTATGACAGCCATTTTATTCTAGAAAATATCGCCAACGATGTGTCAGGCCGTGTCGATCTTCTACCCATTACAAAAGAAAAATATATTTCGTTCACAAAAAATATAGACCAAAATTTGATTAAATTAAGATTCATTGACTCGTTCCGTTTCATGAGTTCCGCTCTAGATACACTATCATCATACTTAACCGAATTTCAAAATTTAAGATCTCAATTCCCGGAACTAGATGAAAATATGTTTAAATTACTAACTAAAAAGGGAGTGTACCCGTACGATTTTATGGAGAATTTCGATAAATTCAATTTCGATTCTTTACCTGAACAAAAACATTTTTATAATCAATTAACTGATAATGATATTTCTGATGACGAATACGCACACGCCCAAAACATTTGGACTAAATTTAATATTAAAACTTTAGGTGAATATACTGATTTGTATATGAAAACGGACATTCTTCTTCTGGCTGACGTTTTTGAACAATTTCGTAGCAGTTGTCATAAGACATACGGGTTAGATCCCGCCCACTACTATACCCTACCAGGTTATACGTGGGATTGCATGTTGTTTAAGACACGGCAGACATTGGAACTTTTAACAGATATCGATCAAATTATGTTTGTTGAGCGCGGAATTCGTGGCGGTCTGAGTCAATGTTCGAAAAGGAAAAGTTTGGCTAATAACAAGTACCTTCAAAATTACGATTCGACTAAACCAACCCAGTATTTAACATATTTCGATATCAATAATCAGTATGGGTGGGCCATGAGTCAGTATTTACCATACGGCGGTTTCGAGTGGGTTCAAGATTCAAATACAATTGACGTAACAACTGTGTCGGACACTTCAAATGTAGGGTATTTACTCGAGGTGGATCTTACATATCCACGGCATCTACACGATCTACATCGAGACCTACCGTTCTGTCCTGAGCATAATGCTCCTCCCAATTGTAACACCGGTAGTAAACTTTTGGCAACATTATACGATAAGACACGATACGTTATACATTATTGTGCATTAAAACAGGCAATAAAGCACGGGCTTATCATCACCAAAATTCATCGTGCTCTAAAATTTAATCAATCTCCTTGGCTTAGAGCCTACATTGACATGAATACTGCGTTGCGTCAGGCGGCTACGAATGAATTCGAAAAGAACTTGTTCAAGCTTATGAACAATGCTGTATTTGGTAAAACGATGGAGAACATTAGGAAGCGATCTGTTGTAAAATTGGTAAGCAAATGGAACGGGCGTTATGGGGCTGAGGCACTTATAGCAAAACCCGAGTTTAAGGCGGCCACTATTTTCAACGAAAATTTGGTCGCCATTGAACTTAATAAGACAGAGGTGTATTTTAATAAACCGATATACGTTGGCATGTCGATTTTGGATCTTGCTAAAACCACCATATACGATTTCCATTATGAGTACATGTTGCCGGAATTTGGTGAGGACTGCTCTGTCTTATACACCGACACCGACAGTCTTATATACGAAATTCGTAATAAAGACATATACGAAGTGATACAGCGTGACTGTCATACACGTTTTGATACCAGCGATTATCCGCAAGACAACAAGTACAACATCCCACAGGTAAATAAAAAAGTTTTAGGTATGATGAAAGACGAGTTTAACGGCGTACCAGTTGAATTATTTATCGGTCTGAGATCGAAAATGTACGCCGTTAAACAGGCTGTAAATAATAGCAACGCGATTAGAACAGAAATCGGCTTGACGAAAAAGATTAAAGGTATTAAAAGGTCTGTTATTAAACGGGTCATTACGCTCGACGACTTCGTCGAATGTGTTGACAATTTTAAAACTAAATACATTTCTCAAAATTTAATAAGATCCGAAAAACATGCAGTTTTTTCCATAACACAAGATAAGATCGCGTTAAATCCCCACGACGATAAAAGGTATTTAATTAAGGGATCGTATGAGACCTTTCCCTGGGGACATTACTTCATTAAGGACGACGGCGATGAATCCTTAGAATAGGTTGTTTTTAGCTGTTAAGCTCAAGTTTTTGAATATATGTATATACTTAATATAAACTGTACGGCACAGTCCGGGTTTGTTTTCCTATCGTAACAAAGTAATTAGTGTAATAATAGGCATTAATATTAGGAAAATAGAAGTTAATTTTTGGTATAGGTAAAGCAAATTTGATGTACATAGGTAAATACCAGGTGTATATGAGTAATGTTAATTTATTTTCGCTGTTCTAATCATATATGGTAATAATAATAAGTCACCTGTTTAGTCAACCATCCGTTGTATATCAAACACTTATTTAATAAAAGCAAATGAATTATTCGTCTCTTCTTTATAGATTCCGTTACTTAATACGAATATCTATACGCTTACACATATGAATAAAGCATTGCATGTGTCTATCTACGTTAGTGTGTAAATACTGCGTTTCACCAACACATGCTCACTGCACATTAAACGATAAATTTTTATTATGTAACATTCAAGGTCAATAAATATTATTAATTACATTCATTAGCAATGAGGTAAACGAAAAACAAAAGCTTCTTTAATTATAACTACTCTCATGGTACACATGCATACACATACTGGTACATACATACATAGCAGATAGCCGCCAATTGTACTTATAATTCGATCAAGGTCGCTTAGGATGCT